GGCCAATGATGTGAAGGCCCAGATCCATCAGAGTATCAATGTTCTTCCTCTCTCTCCTCCCCTCTCACTGCAGACATGAACCACTGGCTGAGAAACATCCTGATTCTGACTCTCTGGCTAGGTAACTCTTTAAACCTACTGATTGTTCTCCTTTAATCAATCATCTTTATTGATCCATCTCTTCCTCTGCATGTTCTCTTCTTCCCCAGAGTGTAAAGGAGAAGACAGAGTGACCCAGCCAGCAGGAGATGTCATTGCTGCTGAAGGAGACACAGTTACACTTGACTGTACTTTTGAGACGAGTAGAGCAAGTCCAACGTTGTTCTGGTACAAACAAGTAAATGAGTCTCCTAAGTACATGCTGAAAAGTTACTCAAAAACAACAGATTTTGATGCAGAGTTCACGAAAGACAGATTTAATGCTACAATCAAGGATAAGTCAGTTCCTCTGAAGATCCAGAAGCTTCAGCTGTCTGACTCTGCTGTGTACTACTGTGCTCTGCAGCCCACAGTGACAGGAAACACCAAAACTCTGTACAAAAACCTTTGGAGCAAAGACAACAGAATACTCCACAACGTCCACTAGAGGGAGTCACACACTGTTAAACTTCAGTGGTTTATGATATAGTCAGGATTTGTTTTAGTGCTGAAAGAAGCAACATTAAATGAAGCGCTACAGATAAAACACAATAAACAAATAACAGAACTTGAATATGTTCATAGTATTTTCAAAGTATCTCCAATAGTACTCCAGCAGATTGTTTTCACAGACAATTGAAATGCTTGGTGATTGTAACCATTGCAAGCTTTAAGCTGTGCTGCCTGGTTTGAAGCAATATGTAGACTGTAATACTAAACCCCCATTTGCACCTCTCACCATAATGTCCGTTTAATTCCCACCTACAAGTCCCTGCTCGAAAGCAGGAGAGCACAAGTAAAACTGTACTTGTTTGGAACAATGATGGCATTGAGACCTTAAAGGGAAATGAAGCAGTCAATCAAGTTTACATCATTTACACAATGGATTTCCACTACGATCAACAATTATACAAGAAACATGACAAATGTAAACGTATAAAAGACAAAAGAAAAGAAGAACTGTCATATCTTTCACTGAAAGGGCGCCACCATTGTGCAGTACTATAACCTGCAATGTCACGGGGTTGGTTGGCTTTAAGGCTTTGGGCGAGAGATAGTGAAATACAGAGCCAGTGAAAGAGATAGTGAAAGACAGAGACAGTGAAAGAGAAAGAGTGAAAGAGATAGTGAAAGATAGAGATAGTAAAAGAGAGATACTTAAGAGATAGTGAAACAAAGACCTAGTGAAAGACAGAGCCAGTGAAAGATAATGAACAAGAGATAGTGAAATACAGAGCCAGTGAAAGAGATAGTGAAAGACAGACAGTGAAAGAGAAATAGTGAAAGAGATGGTGAAAGACAGACATAGTGAAAGAGTGAAAGAGAGATAGTGAAAGACAGAGAAAGTGAAAAAGATAGTCAAAGACAGAGATAGTGAAAGATAGACATGGTGAAAGACAGAAACCGTGAAAAAGAGAGTGAAGAGATAATTAAAGATAGAGATAGTGAAAGAGATACGGAAAAGATAGAGATATTGAAAGATATAGTGAAAGAGATAATGAAAGAACGAGAAATAGTGAAAAAGATAGGGAAAGAGATACTGAAGAGATAGTGAAAGACAGCCAGTGAAAGAGGTAGTGATGGAGAAATAGTTAAAAACAGAGACAGTGAAAGAGATAGTGAAAGAGATAGTGAAGAGATACGGAAAAGATAGTTAAGAGATACAGATATTGAAAGATATAGTGAAAGAGATAATGAAAGAAATAGTGAACAAGAAATAGTGAAAGAGATAGTGAAAGATAGAGATATTAAAAGAGATAATGAAAGACAGAGATAGTGAAAGATAGACATAGTGAAAGACAGAGCCAGTGAAAGAGATAGTGAAAGACAAAGAGAGTGAAAGACAGACAGTGAAAGACAGAGATATTGAAAGAGAGAGATAGATGGATGCCACGAACAGAGGACAACCAGTGGAAACTCAGAATAGAATCAAATATAATAATTGTTTTGAAAGGTTTTCAAATTATTATTATTTTCATTTAGTAATTGTTCCTTTATTTGTTTGTTTTTTATTTGTTTTTATTTCACATTTATGGGTAATGGGGGCTCGGGATGTAGCAACATGTAAAAGGAGATGGCAGACATGAAAATATATTTTGAATGCTTTTTATATGCTAAAGCAAGATTAAATAAATGTAATAAAGAATTCCAAATGTCACAGTGAAATATATCATTATCAAAATATTGCCTATAGACACACGCACACACCTGTCTATAGATTTGTCTCACTCTTAACCCTGCCTTGGCCGACCTCGTCCTTTCTCCCAGTACTGTATCCTTCTCAGATTATTTCCCACACAGTTTTGAACCTGGTATCTTATTTCCTCTACCTGCAGCTTTTGGTGTGCAGCAGTCTCTGTGACCATCTCCCTCTTATTTTATCGTAGCAGTCAGCCTTGGCAGCGGCTGCAGCACTACAGCAGGTCAGTCACTGTGAGCCAGTTCCAAATACTGTCAGCGATCTTTACATCTTGTCACGGTCACATATTTGTTTAATCAGCTAATATCTCCTAAGTTTGTTATAATATCGATAGTCACAGATCACCACCAGTAGTATCAGCAGCAACATCCCCAGCAACACCATCAACAGCCCACAGTGTTTAAAGCAAGAGCTGGGTATTCCCTGTGTTTCTTTTTTTAAACTGTGTCATACCATTCGCTGATGTATCAATACAGGAGCATCAGTATACGCATATCAGCAAGGAATACATAACGATATATTTCTGTATCAATATTTTGAGAACAGCCCTAGTTAAATCCTTGTTCCATGTGCCCCTTTTATACTTTGAGTACCTGCCCTGGTTCTGATAGTAGGCACTTTGAACTGTAGCCCATTATGTGACCTGAGCTCATGACTGCTTTGTAAAGTTAAAAATGTCCTGTTTAAATAATTTGGAAGTCTACCTAACATATCTTTGCAAGTGAAGGGATGACCATCTTTCCAGTCTGTCCAATATACAATGATGTATCCTGAAACTAGAGTTAGTGACATATCTGAGAGCTGAGTGATAAAGGGGGTCAAGTTTGGACAAGGTGGACAGAGAGGCAAACCTGTAGGTAGTGTCCCAATAATCAATCTGTGGCAGAAAAAGGCCAGCAACTAAGTGTTTTTGTGAAGCCATTGAAAAGCATGACTGTCACATATACAGAAAAGTCAACGTGAATTTTAATTTCTTTGCAAGATAATTAACATGGTATTTAAAATTTAGGTTTTTTTGTAAAACCAGATTCCCAGATATTTGTAATTATCAACAGACTGGATACAGACTCCATACAGGGTCGTGATGGAGAGGGGTGGTACCTTTGTTCGCCCAGTGGCAAAAATCATAATTTTAGTTTTGTGGGAATTTAGAAGCAACTTCAAATCTGACAGAGCATATTGCAGGGTATAAAAATCTGCCTGCACATTTGAAAAGGCAAACTCTGCTGTGGGGGCACAGGAGTACAGAACTGTGTCATCTGCATACAGATGATCCTTACAGAATTTAAACATCACAAACATTATTAATGTAAACTAGGAAAAGCGAGGGTCCCAAAACTGAGCCTTGTGGAACACTTTTGTAACAAGGACTGGATCTGACATGTCGTTGCCATGTTTAACCATTTGTGAACGATTGGTCAGGTCATGTCAATCCAAACCTCAATATTATTAACACTACATCAAAATTTTTTAATAATTAATTTGTGAAGCTGGAACGATAGATGATTTTCAACCAACTAATTGTTTCAGCTGTGCTTGAATAAACTGTTGGGTAATTAAATTAATTACAAAACATATTTTATAAACTCTTCATATGTAGTAAAATGCTTACTTTGTAAAGTAACAAAAGCTGTTGTAGTGAAGAAAAAGAACAATCTCTCTGTCTGAGTTTGGTGGAGACACAAAAAGTGGCATGAACAGAATATAATCATTTGTACATAAGTACAGTACTTGAGTAAATGTACGTAATTACTGTCCACCACTGAACGGCAGCATAAGATTCATTTCCAGAGCTGAAGGTACAGGTACGTAGAGAAACAAATAACTACGGATATGTTGGAGTAAAGTGAGAACTGAGTGGGAAACAGCTCTTAAAATCCTTCTGCCAGTTATAAAATTTACGACTGAGAAAGATAAAACATCTATGGGACAATTTGATAAATGGGTTGAAATATGTTTCCTGCTAAATCGAATAAAAGAGACGAAACCTACCATTTAGGGCAGATATGCTCTATGCTATATAAACCAGAACTGAGGGAAAGGAAATACTTTACTGGTTGCACTCTGTATGTTTGTTTGAGCCTTTGTAAAGAATAAAATTCTTAGACATCTTGACTCGATTCTTTATTCCAGAAGACTCACTAAAGAAAAAGTTCAAATACATCTGACAATAAATTATGGACTGTAAGTTTGATGCCTTGTAATAATAAGCTGGTATGTAACGTCGGCCAGAGTCCCACTGCACTTTCACATCCAGACAAGGATGGACAAACACCTTAATGTTTCACTCCAAAGCCTGAGTCATGACCAGTTTCACACCAGTGTTTGGAGACAGAATAAGCTCCATGTTTGCACAGACTGCCTTCATTTGTTAGAGGGGGAGATGTCCAACCATAATTAACACAAACATCTCTGCTTTCACTGTCAGTAATGCGGCAGCTCCAGAGATCGAAGCACCTAAATCAGCCCTTGGAGTCTAGAAAGGACGTGACTGCCCCATTGCGGGAGTGAGGGAGTGTTTGCTGAAGCCTCTGCTTTCACTGTGGTAAACTGGTGGTAGCAGCTCCTAACCATTCGCTCTCAGTGCAACATCCTGTTTGAAATGGTCGACACCACCGAGCTGGTTTTGGAGATCCTTATGTGTTCTGAACATGCTTCATATTTTAGCCCTTTATCTGGAGAAGCTGTGGACAGGCTGGCAAACTGACAGGCCTTTAATATGATGCTGATACCATATTAAAAACATTCACTAATTGATCCTAATTGTCACACTAGGAAAGGAGAGAGTGAGGAAAATGTGTTGAGTGTAAAGTTGTCAGTCGGGGAATAACACAGGGCTGTGAATGAGCCCCGTCACTGTGATCAGGCTCCTCCTTCTAATCCACCAACTTAGTGTTGATGAAGACTAAACAGAGAGATCACAGCCTTCTTTATACTTGCTGGAGCTCACAGTTCCTCAACACTGCAGATATGACGCCTCTGTTCATCTCAGTGTTGCTGGCTGCTGTGTGCCTTGGTATGAACACAACTCTGGTTCTCTGATATCAATCCAACATTGACATGATTCTTTAACAGCACACTGATACTGTTTGTTGCTGTTTTACAGAATGCAGAGCACAAAAAGACAACGTGCTGCAACCAGAAGGAGACGTGACTGCTGCTGAAGGAGACACAGTAACACTTGGCTGTCTATATAACAGCAGTTCAACAAATAATTATCTCTTCTGGTACAAACAGGATGGAAACAACAGCCCCACATTTATACTGAGACGCTTTAAGATCGGCGAGGGGAAAACAGAGGACGAGTACAAGGAGAGATTTTCATCCACACTGGATTCCACCTCAAGATCAGTTCCTCTGAAGATCCAGAAGCTTCAGCTGTCTGACTCTGCTGTGTACTACTGTGCTCTGCAGCCCACAGTGACAGGAAACACCAAAACTCTGTACAAAAACCTTTGGAGCAAAGACAACAGAATACTCCACAACGTCCACTAGAGGGAGTCACACACTGTTAAACTTCAGTTTATCATACAGTCTGGATTCATTGCACTGATAATAAAAACTAAGAAAAATTAGACATAAACATTAAAAAAAATGATTTAGAGTGTTTATATCTCTGACACACTGATGATGATGATAAGGAGAGTGATGTAAACTACGTAGATAAAATTTTGTTTACATTTATATTCATTTGAGTACCTGATGTTGTTAACACACCAACTTATTTGCCACTTGAAGAATAAAGACAATACAAATACAAATCTCCCTGAACTTCCTGTCCTGAGGTTTCCATCAGTTTTCCTCCATGTTAAGGCAGGACAGTATGGGGAGTCTTCACTGATGCTGCTGGATGTAAAACCCAGTGAGACTCTGTATGTGATACTGGACTGTACTCAGAAACTAGACCTGATCTCAGCATCCAGATGTGGGTTTTGTTAGTCTGAAGGAATATTCCAGTGAAAATGTCTCGTTTCACTATCAAATCCTCTCCACCTGTAAGCTTGAAAGGTGACTCGACAGTTTGCAGCATCACTTTGTTAATTGCTGCTGTAAATCCACAACTTCAGAGATGTGGGGAGGTGATAACGCAGCACAGAAGTAGAGTCTTTAACTATGTTGAGTTTGGAAAATGCTGAACAAACAGATCATCAGCTGACAACTGGATTATGCTGCTGGACTAGTTTGAAGTTTCAGTGGCATCTTTTCTTCTTCTGTGGTCTGATTCTGATTGGCCACTAGATGACACTGTAGCTGCTGTTAATCCAAGCTGAGCCACATTATCAAGTAGGCGGTGCACTACTTCTGCACTGTGTTCAACCATTCTGTCAATAATAACTGCTGCTGTGAAGAGAACAATTCTCAGACTGAATGTTGAACATCAGCTAGTTTCTCCTGTTGATTTAAACCTTGTTGTAGAGATGGAACATTGGCTGGGGATTATTCTTGCTGCTCTTTTCTTTGGTAAGATAGAAAGCACAACATCTTTTTATTCTTTTCTAAAGATTTATGGAAACAGCTGAGCTGTTTGTGTCCACAGAGTAACACTGTACAGCTGCCATTTTCCACTGTCTTCTCCTCTCAGCCTCATGAACAATGTTAGTCTAATGGCTTCATTTGCTCTACTTTTTCCAGGACTAATAGCTGGAGACACAATCTCTCCTGTACGAGAGGAAGTCAGTGAAAGAGAAGGACAATCTGTCACACTCACATGTAACTATCAGACAACTGCTACTAATATTCGCCTTGACTGGTACAAACATCATTCTGACCTTCAGGCACCTCAGTTTATACTCTGGAAAGGAGCAAAATCGTACACAGAGGAATATATTCCTGATAGAAGATATGAATCTGAAACATCAGCAACATCAACTACACTGACCATCAGAGATCTAACCCTGGCAGACACAGCTCTCTACTACTGTGCTCTAGAAACACAGTGATACAAAGTGTAGAAGAGGCTGTACAAAAACCTGAACCCAGATATCTGACTACTCTTCAAAGAGGAGGGAAGTGGTATTCAAACCACAGCTTCATATCAGATGGATTCTGCTAATTCCTGTTTTATCAGAGTCACTGTGGTTCTAGCTGCTAATGAAACACTGGGGGAGGATTCACAGGAGCAGCAAATCCACATCAGAGAGAAACCACCTGCAGGATCCTCAGTAAGGATAAAATTCGTAACATGTCACATTTGAACTTCAGCATGTCTAACAGATACATTCAAACATTTGGCTAAATAAAATGTTTTGAGATATAAATGATGTATTTAAAGTTAATCTAACATTCTTTCACTTATTTTAGAGGTTGTATTTCTTTCCTGACATTTGCGAGGTCACAGTGGGTCTGTGTTCAGTCAGGTGGTTTATGATATAGTCAGGATTTGTTTTAGTGGTGATAGAAGCAACATTAAATGAAGCACCACAGATAAAACACAATAAACAAATAACAGAACTTGAATATGTTCATAGTATTTTCAAAGTATCTTCAATACTACTCCAGCAGATTGTTTTCACAGACAATTGAAATGCTTGGTGACTGTAACCATTGCAAGCTTTAAGCTGTGCTGCCTGGTTTGAAGCAATATGTAGACTGTAATACTAAACCCCCATTTGCACCTCTCACCATAATGTCCGTTTAATTCCCACCTACAAGTCCCTGCTCAAAAGCAGGACAGCACAAGTAAAACTGTACTTGTTTGGAACAATGATGGCATTGAGACCTTAAAGGGAAATGAAGCAGTCAATCAAGTTTACATCATTTACACAATGGATTTCCACTACGATCGACAATTATACAAGAAACATGACAAATGTAAACGTATAAAAGACAAAAGAAAAGAAGAACTGTCATATCTTTCACGGAAAGGGCGCCACCATTGTGCAGTACTATAACCTGCAATGTCACGGGGTTGGTTGGCTTTAAGGCTCTGGGCGAGAGATAGTGAAATACAGAGCCAGTGAAAGAGATAGTGAAAGACAGAGACAGTGAAAGAGAAAGAGTGAAAGAGATAGTGAAAGATAGAGATAGTAAAAGAGAGATACTCAAGAGATAGTGAAACATAGACCTAGTGAAAGACAGAGCCAGTGAAAGATAATGAACGAGAGATAGTGAAAGACAGAGACAGGGAAAGAAATAGTGAAAGAGAGTGAAAGAGAGATAGTGAAAGACAGAGCCAGTGAAAAAGACAGTGAAAGACAGAGATAGTGAAAGATAGACATGGTGAAAGACAAAAACCGTGAAAAAGAGAGTGAAAGACATAATTAAAGATAGAGGTACTGAAAGAGATAGTGAAGAGATATAGAAGAGATAGTGAAAGAGATAGTGAAAGACAGAGAAAATGAAAGAGATACTGAAGAGACGGTGAAAGACAGATATAGTTAAAGATAGACATAGTGAAAGAAAGAGCCAGTGAAAGAGATAGAGGATAAAGATTTAGGAGTTGGAGAGGATCTGTCCTTAGCTGGCTCCAGAACCAGGTTAAAACCTCCTCTGACGATGAGCTCAGTGGGGGGGGCAAGTTATATTGAAGAAAAGATTCACAAAGAAATTTGGATCATTTTGATTTGGTCTGTAAACATTAAGCGTAGTGGCTGGCTCATCAACCTTCCTTGTCCTTTTCTACATGTTTCAAATAAAACAGTAACCCTTTTCTTAATAAAATGGTCACTCCCCGCGCCTGAGAGGTGAATGAAAAGTAGTATATTTGGCCTTGCCATTGTTTACCTAACTTACAGTGTTCTGCATCTGTTAAGTGAGATTCCTGCAGGCAACGTCAACACTATGATTTCTAAGAAAGTCGAGGATTTTTTAGCATTTAACCTGTTGATTAATTCCATTGGTGTTCCAACTAAGAAAGCTGTATGTTATATCTGCAGACATGGATCACAACGTGCACTAGTGTGGCAATGTGGAAAATAATTGTCAGTAGATGAGGTAAAAGACATGGTGGTGTCTTGTAACAAAGGGTAGAAAAAGAAAAGAGGAAAAGGAGAAAACAAAATAGAGAAAAACCCACTAAAAAGATAAACAGACCCTGCCCTTTCAGAAACCCTCCTACCTCCCTCCAAACCCACCCATCCCGTAAAAGAAGAGACTGGCCTATATTTCTTCCTGTCCACAAGCGTATTAAGATAGACTGCTCTAACCAGTGTAACCAAGCCACTCAAGTAAGGCTTGAGAAGTCCTGAAAGTTCGTTCAGATGACACTATTTGTCGCTGACAGCATTATAAAGTACATATACCCTCTGTTCTATGTGAAAATTTGCCAGCAGATAAACAGGTAGTCTGGTAGGGGAAATAAGAATAAGGTGAAATGAGGATACTGCCAGGCCTTAATTATGTTAAGGTGCACCATCCCTCCAGGAGGTCCAGGACCAGATTAGTGGAGAAGCCTGAAGGAGATGCTGCTGTCATGTAGCTTTTTTCCCCCAGCAGCATGAAGGCTTTCTTTTTCTTATAGAGAGCCGTGGACATTCCCTGAATATCATGATGTCTGAGTTACTGTACTTGAGCGATCTTTTCTTCCGTGTTGCACTGAAGATTTTCATCACATCTATGGGCGGATAACTAGAGCCCGGGGGAAGCTACCTTCATCGGGTCCACGCTGGAGTGTAAAGTGAGCTCGCTGGATTTCGAGCGGGGTGTCGGTCTCAAGGTCAAGTATTTTCGGGAGCCATTCTTGTGGATGCTGTTTTTCCCTTCCACACCTCCCGGGAATCCAAGCAGCCTTAGATTCGGCTGTCTGGCTCTGTTCTCCAGATCATCTTCCTTGTCTTTAAGACCGCTAATTTCTTTTGCTGATAAGAGTTTCCACAGAGACGCCTAGCGAATTTTCTCTAACCCTTTTTCTATTTCTTTGTGAAACCAGGTCAGCGGCCCTCAGGTGAGCTAGCGTTAGCAGCGTTAGCTGTGCAGGCGTTAGCCGAGGCTGATAGAGGGGGCTTTCCACTCTTGTCTTCCCTCGTCGCCGCTTCAGCTCTTTTGGGGGGCATTTTTAGCTGAACCGCGTTGGTTTCTATTAGTATGAAGCTGGGGTCATTTCTATAATTAAGAAACTCAGGATAGGGGACAAGTTAGGGTTTTGTATGGGAGCTGGTTACACTACCTCCGCCCTTCACGCCACCATCTTAAAAACTCCAAAAGGGGAGAATATGACAGATGCAAACAATCTGAGCTGAAAATGGGGATTTATTTTCCTCTCATGATTTGATTTGTCCTCAAATGTGACACAGATGTAATAATGTGAATAATATTATTTAAGTAAAGTACTGAATAAGTAGTTAATGTGGCTGTCATGTGTGATTGAATAGTAGCATATCGTCTGCGTAAAGACTGACCTCAGTCAGGACCTTCACACGTTCTGTCAAGAGTCAATCAGTGTTACCTTATCAGCTACTTGTTACCTGATAGAAATGATGTCATTTAGTGAATAACAGCACCACAGCAGAGACAAACTCACTATTTGTCAGAGTTGTGAGAGGAAGGAGGGATTAAGGGAGGAGCAAAACTGGGACTCAACGACAGAAAAGACACAAACTTTCACAGTGGTGTTTGATTCAAAACCAGACGGATTCTCTTTCTCTTTAAGATGCTGTCAGTGAACTTCAGTCTGTTTGTGACTTTGTTTCTGCTCACAATAAGAGGTAGGTGAGATCATCAACATTAAGAGAGCTTCACTGATCACCTTTAGATTGTAAATTTACAGACTTATCTCTTCCTTCAGGTGTCAGCTGTGAAGAACTCACTCCAGTCAAGAATGAAGAGTTTGCTTTAGAAGACAGCTCTGTTACTCTGTCCTACAAATACTCTAAACAAGCTGATGCCAATGATTATTTCTTCTGGTATCGACAATATCAAGGAAAACCACCAGAGTTCCTCATCTCACACTCTGCTTCAGGAGCAGTAGTAAACGATCCAGTCCCTGGACTGTCTGTGAAAGTGAGTGATGATAAAACCCAAATGGATCTGCAGATCTCCTCTGCTGCAGTGATAGACTCTGCTGTGTACTACTGTGCTGTGAAGCCCACAGTGACAGGAAACACCAGAAGTCTGTACAAAAACCTGACAGCTCCTGAGAAGATTTACTCACTGCAGCTCCTCCTTTTACTGAACAGCAGTGCCACCACGTGGAAACTGACAACACAATCTAATGATAAGTAAAAATATCACTCCTGTTATTAATAAAACAGTTAATCCAGATCATGGTGTTTAATTGAGGCTATTTCTGTACAGTAAGGCACTCCACAAGGAGGTCTTCTCCACAGTTAATTTCACTATCCCTGATGATGAGACAAATAAAAATTACAGACTGATAATGATTTCATAATTCTACCAGGGTGAAAAGTGGTTAAAGAGACTTTGTTGTAACAGAAAGTTCACATGTTAAAGTTCCTCATTATGAGCTGCTCTGGATAAGAGCATCAGCTGAACAGCTGAGATGTAAATGAGATGTAAATGTTGAGAGTTCCTCAACAGATGATGAAGAGGAAGGGCCAATGATGTGAAGGCCCAGATCCATCAGAGTATCAATGTTCTTCCTCTCTCTCCTCCCCTCTCACTGCAGACATGAACCACTGGCTGAGAAACATCCTGATTCTGACTCTCTGGCTAGGTAACTCTTTAAACCTACTGATTGTTCTCCTTTAATCAATCATCTTTATTGATCCATCTCTTCCTCTGCATGTTCTCTTCTTCCCCAGAGTGTAAAGGAGAAGACAGAGTGACCCAGCCAGCAGGAGATGTCATTGCTGCTGAAGGAGACACAGTTACACTTGACTGTACTTTTGAGACGAGTGGCACTCCAACTTTGTTCTGGTACAAACAGGATGGAAACAACAGCCCCAAATTCATGTTGAGCCGCTTTCAACGGGATGAAGGGAAAACAGCAAACGAGTTTAAGGAGAGATTTTCATCCACA